TATCAGGCACTTTTTGCCATAAAATCTTTTTAATCGTGTCATTTCAATTTATGTTCGCTAATTTAGAAATGTTAATAAACGCGAAGTACGATCGCGATGTACAGCACCAACTGCATCGTCATATTATTCTACCATAAGGACAATACCATACCGTTTTAAAGTGTACTGCAATACCCTAAATGCAAAACGTATGTCACGTATAATGCTAAAAAGGTCCATTTGTAAGTTACATATATTAACAGTATATGTTAAGTGACTTTTCTTAATTTTTTATATGTGTATTTATAAGCTATGATTTGTATTTGTGTGTAAGAAACATCAGAAATAAATGCCTTCTATGTAAATATGTTGTTCAAAATAATTCATAGATCAAACGTAATAGCTTAAACACGGATAAAGATCCGATATGATATCTGTGATTGTGTTCCATTTTACAATTAAAAAAAAAAAGATTGTTCATCGAATTTTCGTTAAAAAAAGTGTTTTTTCTCATAGAAGTTGCAAGTCTTGCAATGCTGACCTTAGATAATATTGGTTGTTTTGTTAAAAAGATGCAAGGATTTACCTTAAATGCTTCAAAAGATTAATAACACCAGGCCAGTTCTGAATACGTTATAATAAAAATGTTTTACAACATAGAGTTTTGCATAAATATATTCAAACAATAAGTTATTTGATAAACATCAACTGTATAACAAACAAACAAATTTCACTCACACCATCCACGATATCGAACCCAAGGACTCTCTCTCTCTCTCTCTCTCTCTCTCTCTCTCTCTCTCTCTCTCTCTCTCTCTCTCACACACACACACTTGAATATATACACACATACAAAAACAACTGTGGTAACATTAAGTGCTAACAATAATAATAAACAATTTATAGTAACAATAAACAATAAAAAATAAATTAACAATGAGAAATTTATTGATAAATTTTAGTTTCCCAATCTATGGCAGATTTTTTTTTCAAATCTATGGCAGATATTCTGCAAATGGAGTACCAGTCAGTAAATATCTGACCAATGATTTCAAAGTTGCCTTAAACAAGTGGAAATGTCCAAAGGTAAAGAAAAAGGAAGTACATGTATAAGAAAAACGGATTACAAGCACTACAACAGGAGCATATCCATATACAAATAAGGAGATATGTAATGATTGCCCATGAGACAACTATCCACCAAAGTTCAAATGAAGTGGATGTAAGGAATTATAGGCAACCGTACGGCCTTCAAAAATGAGAAAAACCCATACTGTATGGTCGGCTATAAAAGGCCCCGACATGAAAAATATGAAACAATCCAATTGAGAAAACCAACGGCCTAATTTAGAACAACACAATTTGCGAAAAACAAATATGACAGACATGAACTAAAGAATAACCGTTTGTGAACGAATAACCAACGAATAACCATTTGTGGAACGGACCTTCCATAATGGTCAACCAAATTGTGATGACAACCATAAAATTTACTTAGAAAGGAAGTGAAATACACTAATACAGACTTTAGGAATGAAAGGATGAGCTCCGGGAAAATAAGCATTTCCTTCTCTGTGCATGGTACCTGGTTAACCCTGTCATTTAACCAAGTTCCTTAACTCCAAAAGCAGTGTGTATGAAAAGAATTAAACAGTTTGACTTTTTACCTAATATTTTTTTGAGCGTTAATAAATCTTTTTGAACTGATTACGATTTAAGTCAAAGTCCTTGTCTCAAACAAGTGGCTTCTTTAACAATCCTAATTTTTCCAACAGTACACTTACTCGACATAAATATAGCTGAACATAATGTAAATAGTTATTAGAAATCTATGACAGATTTTTTTTAAGTTTCCTATTCTCAAGAAAGATTATTTGCTACAATAGTACAGGTAGTCGCTGTAATATAGCTGAAGAATGCTGTAGATTATATTTTAAACATATTTGAAGAGTACCATAGGGATAGAAAAATATAAAGAAAACAGCATAGCATTACAATTATGAAAGAAAAGCAAAAACATACCTAAGTCACAGTAAAAATCAAGAGACAAGGCAATGCCAAAAACACAGATGAGGGTAAGAAAACAAGGAGCGGAAACAAACACGAAACATCAACACCGAAAACACCAAAAACATATTCATTTGCGTGAAATTGCCTGCAACTATCCAACTGATCCAAATGATATGTATGTACATGTATAATCAGCTATAAAAGGTCCCGATATGAAAACATGTAAAATTATTAAAACAAAAGAACAACGACTTTTATTACTACAAAACAACAAACGACAAATGTGACAGACATCAAACAACGACGACCACTGAATTACGACTTAGGGTAATGAACATGAATGTTTGTTGAACAAGAATAAACTGCAAAAATCAGTCGAAAATGGCTTGAAAATCAAACTAGGACGAGGAACAAAAACGACAAAAAGTAAGACACAAATTATTGTTCTAAGAGTTCTTACAGTTACTGTTAGTTACACTTAAGCATGCAATTGTGTGGTCGATTTGGTCAGGGCTCATTGGATGCTTGGATGCTTGTTGCTTCAATCGTAAATTACAAACGATGTTAGAAAATGAAAACAACACGTTATAAATCTCATGCGTCCTAGGCGCTTTCTTTCATACGCCTTTTCTGTGTCTCCCGTTAAAGTATTAATGTTGGAGTCTAGCTGCATGTATTTAGTATCTATTGCAGATTGAACCGTTGGTTTTATGGTCTTTTTCTAGTCGATAAATTGGAATCCTAAAGAAAAGCCCACTTGTATTGTATTATGAGATATGAGAAGCAAATCAAAAACCAATATTTAAAGCTGATGTCGTTTAAATTTTGAAAACGTTGTTGACCGTCTTGGTACCGTTCTCATGGATTTGGTTTTGATCTAGAATTTTCGGTCCTTCCGTGGTCACTTCTTTTCAGTTGCACGATAGTAACTTGTAGGCAGTCATGCTTTTTTTAAATTTGTTTGTTAAACTGTTCCCGCAATTTTGACTTTTAACTTCATGTGTACTATCGTAAATCGACTGTAATACTATGAGACACTGATGCTAAATTTTCTTAGATGATCATATACAACTTTTTTTTTTGAGATTTTAACATATCAATTTGGTGAATCGTCCCCAGATTAACTTGCGTCGAAGAAGTGAATCTTTTAGACCCAGTCCGCTATGCATAATTATGATGGATTATTTCTTTGAATTTAATCAACAAAAGATTCAAACGTCAAATTTCTTCAATGACATGCTGTACCAATTAATATTTGGGCGATATTAATTCAAATCCAACTGTGTTTGGCGTTTTTAACTTGATGATCGGTTAAAAAAAAAATCGCAATACTTTTGAACCTTGAACCTTAAAGTCACCAGGGGTTGTGACTTTGCGGATTTAAGTAAAGATTTACGGAGTTAATGAAAATGATTATGGTATGAAGTAAATTCAGGGGAAATTGGCCCTACCTCTTTGGACTACCATTACAAAATGAGGTGATATTTGATAGGGATAAAATTAACAACAAGCCATCCATAGACTCCTCGAAGAGTTGTTGCAAGGGTTCATAAACGTGGAAAGCTCATGGCAATAACCATTCACAAGCATCGTATATAACATCAAATTCCTGTACACACACATACAAAAAACCAAACAAACAATGAACAACGAATGGTACTGAAAGCTTGACTTGTTACGGGCACAACAATTGGCAGTTAAACGTACAAAATCTCCTCTTTCCTTTTTAGACCTAATGTCGTTTGATTTAAACACAGAATAAAAACCTGTCCAACACAGCTACAAGCAGAATGACCACTATACAACAATGGCCCTTTCTATAGTCTATTAGTCTTGATGAAATTATGTAATCTTATCCACATATCTTGCTTTAACAATCATTCATTATAAACTGGCTAGAGGTATAGGGGGAGGGTAGAGATCTCACAAAACACATTTGACCCCGTCACCTTAATTCGCCTGTCCCAATTCAGGAACCTCTGGTCTTTGTTAGTCTTGTATGTTTTTTTTTTATTTTTTAGTTCATTTCTATTTTTCAGAGTTTAGTGTGACGTCCATTTTCACTGAACTAGTACACATTTTTGTATAGGGGCCAGCTGGATCCCGCCTCCGGGTACGGGATTTTCTCGCTGCGTTGAAGAACTATTGGTGGCCTTGGGCTGTTTTCTGCTCTTTGGTCGGGTTGTTATCTCTTTGACACATTCCTCATTTCCATTCTCAATTTTATTCGTTCATGTTTTTCTTTCTTTAAGAGAAAATCGGAGTGACTACGTTTTAATTGAAACATTTGTACTTCATTTGAAGTACCTTTGTCGAAAGTCCATGAAACAACAACATAACTATTATTGTATTCTTTGTGACGGATAGAACGATTTGTATTTCATGAAATTGATAAAAAGTAAAATAACAAAAATACCAAACTCCAAGGGAAATCATGTAGGAAATAGGGGATTCAACTTGGTTTTATAGTTAGCCAAACCTCTCATTTGTATGACAGTCTCAAGGAATTCCATTATATTGACAACAATGTGTGAACAAAACAAACAGACATAACAAGTAAAAACGTCAAAAATAGGGGTACAGCAGTCAACATTGTAATGTAATCTTAATCACTATAAAAACAAATAAATGTTTCAACAAAGAAACACAAAATGTCATATAGACAAAGTTCACAAGAAACAATGAAATACAAGAACTCAAAATTGACCATAGCACAATGATGGAGAATTGCAGGAACTCAATTGAATATATTGCAAATTATTGATGACTGACAATAGAAACTCGCTCAAACAATCTTTGAGAACATGTTACGAAAGTTACTTCACGTCTTGATCTGTATTCTAAAACTTGAATTTCAATAGTATTTTTAAACACGTTATAACTGTATATCACATGTAGTTGCATTGTAAATTGATACTTTGAAAAACAAAAAAAAAACATCTGTTGTAAAGTTGTCATCAAATGAAATTTAAGATAAATTCTATAAAGTCATGTCACGATTTTTAATTTGTCATTCTGCATTCGTCATTCCTCTAAACATGCTGAATATGTTTGCTCTTGTGTTTTGTGTATTTGTCCTGTCTGGTGACTTCATGATTGAGGGAATCCATGCAGGTATGTTTAATTTTTGTTCACGCCATGCACTACTATTTTATATGTTTGAGTTTGCCCTTTAAAATGTTTATATTAAATAGTTGCATTCCAAAAGTTGATCATTTTTGTTTTGTTCTACCCTTAGTACAAACATGTATTCATTCACAATGCATACATGTATGCCGAAAAAAAATAGATTTTAACCCCAATTGCTGTTGAAAATATGCTAGATTAAAAAAAATCACTCTTTACAACGGAAAGGATAAATTTCTTTGATGAAATGTCTAATCTGACTATGCGTTAAGGCATTAACCATTCATCTTTTGTGTGTGTAGTGTTGGTTATGGATGGGGAGGGGCATGTTTTTGTTAAACTATATGATTCTGAATTATGCAGATAAAACATAATTTGTCAAATCATTTGTGCCAAGAGAGCCTTTCCCCCCTCCCACACACGCATACTCAAGAAAACGTTGTCTAGAAAAAGTTTTAAATTACTTCTTTCATATACGCGTCTCGCTTTACTATACTAAGATGAGAAAAAGCAAAATAATAGCATAAAAGCAAGTAGATGTAACATAAAGAAGAAGTTTACAAAGCTGAAAATAAGGATTAATAATTTATAACACTTCAATATAGAATATGCTGAGATGAGCGTAAGAAGCCTCGATATTACAGTAATCATGAAAATTCATTTTGCACAAATAGATATAGGAATTGGTAAGCTGTATAATGTAATTAGAATCATATCAGTTTAAAGCTTGTCTTCATTTTCTTGTTTTTATCAGAAAAATGCAGGTACCCATTTCGGAAGATAGGGGATGGTTGTTACTTTATAACCAGGGAGAAAACGACTGCAGATAGAGCATTTGTAAGTTGATAATGTCATTTAAAAAAAAGTTATTGTCAAAAAGGTTCAGTAGTAACGCTCGTACTCAATCATGAAGATAGGAATAATCATTCTCTTACATAGTTAAAGACGTCAACAAGATATTGTTCATATGCATTAGTGGAGCCTTGGATTATTACCTTGTTTTACTGTTTTCTTCATGTCATTTTTTACAACGTTTTAACTGCAACCATATCAGTATCCGCCAAAATATTTATTTGGGAATTTAAAATCCGCCAAAATAAAAACTGTCAAAATTTTTCTTATACTTTGCTGCCCGTAAATCGGGAGAATTTTACACCCGCGAAAAAACCCCGATATACGTATCTGTTTTCAACAAAATGCATCGCTTTGATGTCTAAAGTACGTACCGGAAACAAGCCTGATATCTAAAGACACATTTTCAGATATATATTAAAATCAAACTATTTATATGACTGTAACTTTAACTTCTTAATTAGAAATGTTTATTCATTTCTTACATTACAAAATTTAAACAATCTTTCTTTAAGGCATTGTGTTTACGGCGTGGTGCATACCTTGCCAATTTTCAGACGCTGGAAGAAGCCATGTTGATGAAATATGAACTTCAACAAATGCATAAAGGTATATTAATCATTAAAATTGTAATGATTTGTTTTAGGGCTAAATTCAGTAAATAAATATACTTCATTCAGGACCGCCCATTAAGGGGAACACTGAAGTAATTGCTCCACTGATTAGTAGATAATTTTTGTGTAGTAAATAGATGGATCATAACTGGGGTTAAATAGATATTTTTTTACTACAGGGTTGAAAAGTAATGGGGTGAGTATGAGAATTTAGTGCGAATCCACAGTGTTTGTATACAAGGCAATGTGAATGGCCCAAAACTGCCGCATAACCCTATGTTTTTATACTTGCAAAAGATGGGGCTATGTATTTTTGATGAATGATATATGAAAGCTTCTGATTTCTAAAGGTAAAACAGATATCAATTTAATTCAAGACATAGGTTTGTATTGAAGTCAATTAGAGATTTTTTACTAAATTTACCCCTTTATTGTTTGTCTTACATATTTTAATATATCGCAAAGATATCTTGGTCACAGTAGAAAGCATGAAAGCACGTTTAGTGTGGCTAAAAATACAATTAAAAGTTAGTTATCTGGTTAAATATAAGAGCATTCAATTTACTGTCCTTGCATAAACGAGTTGGCATATTATCTATTCTGCACGATTTCAAGTTGAGCTTGTGTAAATCATTCAAATCTTCTAATCAAACTAAATTCCCGGCTTAGAAAGCATTTCCTTTCTTTGCCATACGGCATTATTCGTCCTTTGATATGAACTCTGCAATATTTATATTCCACATGCATGTTTCCTCCAGTCGCCACCTTAAAAAAAGCTTAATTTTGAGACTTATCTATTATTCTTTCCATTTCTGTCAACCAATTAGTTTCATTCGATATTCACGCCATTTTGAAATAATAACTTAATAAATATCGGTTCAGATTGGTTGCCTTGACATGTGGCTAATATTATATTGGCTAGAACGAGATATAGAATTGGGCATGTTGGGAACATGTCCCAAAGAGGAGAAGGTATCAAATACGGAAGATAATGAATAAAATTGCAGTATCGGTATTCATGACTCTATCAACAATGTTGACATAATTTATGATCCTGCGAAGCACGCCGTACCTTTTTAGAAAGGTTAAACTTGTTTGGCATTAGTTCGAGCCTTCATATATGCATTCCGGATTAAGGAGCGAATCGCATTGGGGACTGAAACGACTATATCTATCGTTTTGTACGTATTCGTCATATAAAATTTTACAATGTACACTATCAATATAAAAGTGAAGAATGAATTTCGGTATTTATCATTGCCTACACTATCATTAGTTCGAGCCTTTAACTATGCATCTTATAACAAAGTCTCTGCCAAGCACATGCAGTTTTCCTTAAGGTCGAAGTTAATTTTCAAATAGTATTTACTTCTCCAATCGCAATAATAAGTGTGTTTTAAATGGATGGATATATTAGACGTGTTAGGAGAGTCAATACGAATCTGGCGCTGATGTTAAATACCAATACCACTACAGGCTATAGTGGGGACCATCTCAAAAGATCAGATAATCATACATTATAGTTACCTGTATGGGTGTGTTTGAAACTGCTGAAATAATTTTTGTTTAAATGACAAGTTATTCCACAAAACATAGACGAGAATCATGCAATAAAAAAATGATCAAAATAAATGAATAAAAAAAAACACTGCAAATAAATCATATCCAAATCGTTTTTTTATTTTTGTTTTTTTTGTTTCTGTGGGTTTTTTTTATCCTTATTCAATCTTTGTTCAAATGGTCGTGCATATGAAATTTATTTAAAATAAGCTTTTCATGTCTGTGCCTTTTTACAGCTTTGTTTGCGGTTTTGTTTTTGATCCTTGCTGAATGCCATACGGTGACCTACAGTTGCATTTACGTTATTTCGTCTCTAGTTAATAGTAGCCTACTTTAGAAATCATATCACATCTCCTTATTTTATATCATGTTTCTAGAATAGAGAAATGTGTTTCTTTAAATTTCAATAAAATAATGCTATTTGTATACTTGACAATACATAAAAAAAAAAAAAAAAATGAAACGACAGCTTTTATATCGTCTTTCTTGGCCAGTAAATTTTATTAAATCAGTTAATATTTTCTTTCCTCAATATTCGGAAATAAGAGGATATCGAATAAAGTTTTAAAACATACCTGACCATAACAATTATTTATTTAATTATGTATTATCGAAAGCGGTGTTAACTGGTGGAGTTTTAATTTCCCGAGGGTATCACCAGCCCAGTAGTCAGCACTTCTGTGTTGATTTAAGTTATCATTGATATGTTCATAATTATAAATTAACTGTTTACAAAAACTTGCATTTTTGAAATACTAAGGCTTTTTTACCTCAGGCATAGATTACCTTAGCTGTATTTGGCAAAACGTTTAAGAATTTTTGGTCCTCAATGCTCTTCAACTTCGTACTTTATTTGGCCTTTTTAACATTTTTTTTTTTGGATTCGAGCGTCACTGATGAGTCTTTTGTAGACGAAACGCGCGTCTTGCGCAAATATAAAATTTCAATCCTGGTATCTATGATTTGTTTATTCATAAGTAGAAATTGATGTTATTATCTTTGGGTCAGGAGGATATTCTGATAGCGGTTTAAGGGGTTTCCCGTAGTAAATCATGTACTTTGCCACGACTTTTGGCCAAAATCTTTATGTACTTATGATATAGCATATACATGTATACATATTTTTAAAGAATATCGTTATTGAACATGATATAAAAATAAGATGTGGTAGTATTGCAAATCCTCCACAAGAGACCAAATAACACAGAAATTAACAACTATAGGTCATTGTAGGGCCTTAAACAATTAGTAAAACCCATACCACATAGTCAGCTATAAAAGCCCCAAAATTATAAGTGTAAAACAATTCGATGCACAAAAACGATGCATAGCAATACAACCTGCTTCCAAGAATTGGCACTAACCTGGAATTAGATTTTCCTCCAAATCATGTTATTTTGGCTGATAAGATTTATGCGAACCGTCCACCAATTATGACGCCATATAGGAGACACCAATTAAGACAAAAGCCGCGAAGAGAAAAAGGATAATGTAAAAAACTTAATAGAAAATAGTTAGAGTGTAGAGTGTATGTGGAACACGCCATCAGACGTTTAAAAACATTTAGGGTTATTGGAACTTTGTGGAGACATTCAAGGCACGAGTTAAACAAAATTGTTGAATTATGTGCTGGCCTTGTAGAGAGACAAATTGATTTATTTGACTATTAGATTATTCTACATATATCATTTATTTTTGTACCCGTAAAATCCATCATTTCAATTTTCCTTTTATCTATTTATTTTAGAGTTTTGTTTTGCACTGCTTAATCAAACAAATACAAATACATATATCAGTATATATGAAATGCCCGTACATGTCTTAAAATTTGGAGTCGACGTTAACTGTTCGCTAAATTGTATCAAACACACCACAAAGGTAAATCATACTACGCCTGGATACTTTTCAATGCAATTGTGTTTTGAGAAAGTCCACACTAAAATCTTGTATCGGTATTGGTATTTAACATCAGCGCGGTATTTAAACCCCTTTCCTAAAAAGTAAAATCACAAAAATACTGATCTCCGAGGAAAATTCAAAAAGGAAAGTCCCCAATCAAATGGCAAAATCAAAAAAACAAACACATCAAACGAATGGATAACAACTGTCATATTCCTGACATGGTACAGGCATTTTCTTATGTAGAAAATTGTGGATTGAACCTGTTTTAAAGCTAGCTAAACCTCTCACTTGTATGACAGTCGCATCAAATTCCATTATATTGACAACGATGTGTGAACAAAACAAACAAAAACAATAGGTAAAAATGTCACAAATAGGGGTAAATAGTCTAATTCGGTAGGTCACATTCGTGAAAAGGGAACGGGATTGTAGTTACGACATAAGGAACATATCCGATATCATCTGTGAAACGGATATTCCATAACGGTCAACCAACTCGTGATGGCGTCCGTAAAATTTACAAAGTGATGATTCCAACTTCACCATTTGGTCTAATAGGAACCGGATACTGCACAACGGACAGTTTGGTTATACATTCAGACTGTCTGCTTATCTTATTAACATAATTTTACTAAGGAATGCCGTTCAAAAAATAGATATAGCAAATATAAAGTTTGTTTGTGAATTTCTGTTCCCACAGTGCAGATGGGACTATATGTAAGGGCATGCCTGCAAAGTCATTGGCTGTTTCTAAGAAATATCTGTTACTTTTGCAAGTCATTTTGTACTTGTTCAAATCATCGAGACTACAGAACAGTCTATAGAACACATAGAGTTTTTATCATAGATGGTAAAAGATGTTCTATGTTCAATGCCGTTTGTTTCCGGTAGACCTGAGCTCATACGGTACATGTAGTGCTTATTAAGTTTTTCGTGCAAAATATTTCCAGTGTTTAAAATGGATGGGAAGTACAGATTGCTATCACATAAGACTTCCCGAGCCCTTGTGATCAGATATGAAATACGTCATGGAGATCAAATTTTTAAAACTAGAAACCAATTATTTGCAATTATAAATTTAAGGATTCTAAATAGCATAACCAAAGACTTAATTTTACTTATTTTACCGTGTATTTCAAAGAAAATCTAAATGTTTATATGATGGAGATTAAATTTTTAAAACTCGAAACAAAGAATACAATATAGTTGTTAGCTGATAATTCAGTGGTTCGAAACCAAGAATACAATATAGTTGTTAGCTGATAATTCAGTGGTATTTTTAAACGTTTTTGTAATTATAAATTTAAGGATTCTAAATAGCATAACCGATATTGTAACTAAAAAATATTTGACTGTTTATTTCAACGATAATCTAAATGTACATGTTTATGTTGATGTTTTTTTTACTACACAGCACAGTAAGAATTTTAAAGTTTTTAATTGATATGTTAATTTTGCCTTAAAGGGATAAGCTTCTATATCGGAGGTCGGAACATAAACAGATACGTCCCTGGCGGAGACTGGAGATGGATACAAAACGGCAAAATGACAAAGATGACGTACAAAGCTTTTGCTTCTGGTCAACCGAACGGAAGTTATTCTAGTGAACAAGACTGCATGCTGTTATACGCAGGAGTAGGACACGGCATTATCGACGAAACTTGTAATCATTACCTTCATGGCTACATTTGTGAGAAATGAAAGTAATAAACCCATTCTTAGTTATAACTTTATCTTCTTTGTTATTATTTTTTTAGTTTGTTCCGGGACTATTATACTGGTCCCAGGTTCGTTCTTTCTTTTAACTGTTAGGTTGTTGTATTAATGTTTGGGTATTACGATTCAAGATTTTTGTATTTTGCTAGGTAAAAGGCAAAACAAAAATGACGCATTCGGTTTTTACAAAAAAAAACTATCTCCTTTGAAACTACAAAACCTAAGCGCATTCAATCCTGTGGTGTCTAGTTTTCAAGATGTGTCTGCCGATGGTGTACCTTGTCAACCAAATATGGCCACCACGGGTTAAATAATATAGTCGTAAAATGCCAGTGTTTCCAATTATCTTGTAAATCGTTATGTTTTTAGAAAATTTGACGAGGCAGAAATATTCGGAATGTCAAGGTCTATTGGCTTTCTATTTTGACCAAAACTGTCATACGACCCCTTGAAGTAGTTATTGCCCTTATACGACTATTTTCACCTTAGTTTCTGATTTCGTCTATTATCTTCAAAACTATAATAGATATATAAAAAAAAGTAACAGAAAAAATAATTAGCAAAACAGAACCTTCTTATCATGGTCAAAATCGTCTGCTTATATTTTTATAGGAGTATTTATACTTGAATGTGGATTTTTGTTATACAATATTTGCATTTTGGGGTTGTTTTATTTTTAGCTCGTAGATAGAGAGAAACTGTTCTTAAAATATGATGAACATGTCAAGTTCTATAAATGAGTGAAGCATAGTCAAAATTATCAGTGGCCTGTTCAAATGATTTATTGTCATTGAAGGATGGTTTTCACGTCATTTTAACAATATAGAAACTATTTTTGGTTATATCAGTCATATCAGTTTATAAATGCAAACATTCATATGAGACCTTTGGTTCATTGATATCTACAGTTTAGACAAAATTAATTGTAAACAGACAACAGTACAGCTTTTACGATATCAAAGATGCTATAATAGTTTTGAGAACGTTTTTGGTTTATACGCTTTTATAACGCAAATATGAATTAACGGTACGCAATTCTCGCAAAAACTATTTTTAAACATCTGTTTTGAAATATATAAACGATAAATTTAAAAAACCATCACAAAATAAAACAAATCAAGTACAGGCTCCTGACTTGGGAGAGGCACATAAAGAGTGTTGTGTGGTTGAACGTGTTTGTGAGCGCTCAACCCTCCCGTAACCTTGGACAGTGGTGTACCAGCACAACATAAGAACAAACAATAAACATCAGTAGCAATTGACTTAACTCAAAAGTACACCAAGAGGCACAAAAACAACTACAGTAAAAACAATAGAAACAAAGCATCTAAATAAGTTCTAACCGTTTCTGAAAGCTAAGTTCAAAGCAAGTTACAACTAATAAATAAATCATGTACTCCAAAACTAAAGTATCAGTCAGTACACATCCAACAAATTTAGTGTAAAGACGTCATGAACAGTCTGAACAACATGAAATCAGGTAATGGTACGTTTTATCTATAGATTGAATGAACATATAACCAAAAAAATAAAATGCTTCGCCGAGCGCAGCCTAAAACGACCGGAGAGGTCGAACCCTGAACAGTTGGTGCAAGTTTGGACACAATATTCAAGCTTGATACTGTCTGAATTTGGATTGTGATCAAATTTTTGACATAATATAGGTTTCTGACACAAAACAAATGTGGTGAAAGATCATAAAAATATGAAATGGGTTGAAATATTTCTATTAATTTTTAATTGAAGATTTCTTGCTATTGCGCAATACTTTGATATTGTGCAATACTGTGATATTGTGCAATATTGTGCTAATGCCTAATACTGTGTTATAGTGCAATACTGTGCAATTGAAGATTTCTTTCTAATGCGCAATACTGTGCAATTGGATATTTCTTGCTATTGCGCATTACTATGCAATTGACGATTTCTGGATATTGGGTAGTATTGTGCTATTGCGCAATACTGTGCAATTGGATGTTTCTTGCTATTGCGCAATACTGTGCAATTGGATATTTCTTGCTATTGCGCAATACTGGTCAATTGAAGATGTCTTGCTATTGCGCAATACTGTGTAATTGATGATTTCTTGCTATTGCGCAATACTGTACAATTGAAGATTTCCTGCTATTGCGCAATACTGTGCAATTGAAGATTTCTTGCTATTTTGCAATACTGTGCAATTGAAGATTTCTTGCTATTGCGCAATACTGTGCAATTGAAGATTTCATGCTATTGCGCAATACTGTACAATTGAAGATTTCTTGCTATTGCGCAATACTGTGCAATTGAAGATTTTTTGCTATTGCGCAATACTGTACTATTGCGCAATACTGTGCTATAGCCCAATACAATGCAATTTAAGATTTCCTGCTATTGCACAATACTTCATATAATAATTTACACATCATGTTTGGTGTGTATCTCCTGCCGTATCAGTATTTTTTTGCTTTTATATATAAATCAGAAAGAATCAATGTAAAAATGGAAAATTTTAAGAAAAAAAACCCCCAAAATTATGAAAAAAAAAATCCCCCCCCCAAATTTTTTTAACCCCCTTTTTAGTAATTACCCCCAAACTCAATCCAACCTCTCCCTTTGTGGTATGGTACCTTGCAGTACAATTTCAGAGAGATCCATACACTTAAACACAAGTAATTGTCTGGAAACTAGAAAAGTGCTTGTTTTTGGACCCTTTTGGTCCCTAATTCCTGAACGTTTGGGACAATTACCCCCAAAGTTCAACCCTAGCCTTCCTTTTGTGGTATGGTACCTTGCATTACAATTTCAGAGAGATCCATACACTTAAACACAAGTTATTGTCTGGAAACTAGAAAAATGCTTGTTTTTGTCCCCTGTTTGTCCCCTAATTCCTGAACGTTTTGGGCAATTACCCCCAAACTCAATCCCAGCCTTCCCTTTGTGATATGGAACCTTGTGGTACAATTTCAGAAAGATCCATACACTAACACACAAGTTATTGTCTGGAAACTACAAAAATGCTTATTTGGGCCCCTTTTTGGCCCCTAATTCCTAAACTGTTGGGAACATAACCCCCAAAATCAATCCCAACCTTCCTTTTGTGGTTTCAAACCTTTGTGTTTAAATGTCATAGATTTCTATTTACTTATACTAAAGTTATTGTCCAGAAACCAAATGTCTTCGGACGATGCTGACGCCGACGCCGACGACGAATACGACGACGACGACGTGATACCAATATACGACCGCAAAATATTTTTTGCGGTCGTATAAAAACCAAACACAAGCACAAATGAACTCAAACTAGAATTACATGGTGATTAGAATACAATCAAATATGTCTATTAAGGTCACCTACGATACCGAAAAAAGAGCTATCAATAGAGGCGACCTTTAAATTGAGGTTCTAAATGAAGGTTATATTACTACATCGAGTCAAGAAGATAATGACCTTTACAAAACCAGGTTTTCGCGTAATAGATTTGACCTAAATAACAACCTAAGCAGGTTGTACTACTATAGCTATCATCGAATTTTATTTAACGCAATGTGAAATTAGAATCTTAATTTTTTTAAACTGATTTTTTTTTATTCTGAGGTAACATCCGCATGTCTTCATTAAAAGAAACTTCTTAAAATGCTATGCTCACACATGGTAATTAAAGTCGATATAGTTTGTTGCGAATAAAACAAACCGAAAGCAAAAAAAAAAAAAAAAAAAAAGTTTTAATCTAATAATGAATTTGTGCTATCGATATCTGTGGATCCATGACACTAAATGGAATCGTTTATTATTGTGCCAGTAATTATCTAACATTTGTTTTAAATCTGAATATTTCAAACCAATCTTTTCATTTTAAGATATCTATATTTATATGAGGACACACTGTTAAACTTATCAAACTCTTTCTAATATCTGAAAATTCTTATCATTTGAATGCGACACGGTATTGTTTGCGAAATCTGGTTTTTAAAACAGAATCGAGTTAAAGTAAAAGTAAAATTATGAAGATCTTTGCAAGTTGTTTTCTATTATTATGCAACAGTCCATTTCAACTTGTGAGGAAAACACAGAGCAGAGGACACTGAGTATTGTTCTTAAGGAAAAGAAGTATCAGTTTGAAAAAAAAAGAGGGAACACGAAGCTAATCAAGAGATCCGAATTCGTGAATTAGAACAGGATAAATTGAATCGTGAATTGGAACACGACATGTGGATTATTGAATGAAAATGAATGATCGGATTCGAGAACAGGAACAGAATAATCGGATTCGTGAATTGGAACACGACATCCGGATTCAAAGTAAACAAATTGAGGACTTTAAAAGTGAATTCATTCTTAGAGAGAATGATAAAACTAATTTTCAACGACACAATGACTCTTCCCAGAAAGAATACTACTGCTTTAGAAACCTCTGGAGAGAATCTACAATTAACAGCTAAGGAAGCGATTCCACAGAACTTTAAGAGGCATTTAACTGACAAAGGATATTGGAAGAATGAGATCACGGAGAAATGTAACATAACAATACTTCTTTTGAGTATTTATTAATTTATTTATATATAACAGCCACAAAGCCTATAATCTAGTGCTTTCCGTTTTGGTCTTGTCTGCCATATAGATGACACGGAACTTTTTAAAGCTTACCCTACGATTGCATTTTTGTTTTTACATATGTAAAGGCCGTACATTTGCTTCAATTTGTTCACATCCTTATCATTATCCTTGCCTGTTTCTGTTTTGCCGTTAATCAATGTTATTCAATCTCTTTGTTTTTTATAAATTAATAGTTAAACAAAATTGTTACATATATAACAGTGACCAAAATTTTGAAAGGTTATTTTTAATTTTACATTTAAAATGTTACAGCAGTTCACTTCTACAGTTACATCTGCATATACAATAGTCATCTTCAATTCAATAAGGAATGTATGTAGTGGATTTTAATTTCACCTGGTCCATACCGCTATTTGAAAAAATAAATGAGAACAAAAACAAATGAGAACAACACGTTATAAATTTTATGCCTCCG